CCTTTTTAATTTGAAAACGGAGCAACCCTAGGTATCTTGGGTTTATATTAAATATATGTGTTTCACATATTATAAGCTTTTATTACATGATTAGGTTTGTACACAATTTTATTTAAAAACTGAAATTTGGGGGAAAAAATAAAAGAATAATATAAATTCTTGTTGTATCTAAATTCTAAAAGCGAATATGCAAACGTTAAAGCAATTCTGGCGACTTTTAAAAAATGGAGAGTTGAGCCTTCATCTAGCTGCCAACTCGTCTCTACTGGATAATAAGTGCTGGGACCTTCGCAAGCAGGCCCGCCAATCTGAAGCGCCCCCAAAAAAGCGACATTCCAGCTACGATCAATATTTTTATCGGCCGCGTTCTCATGATCGCCACTTTCTAAGTCAAAATTTGTTGTCTAGAGAGGATGTGGTTCAAGATGTGGCGAATGAAGATAACCACAAGGCAGACCGCGTTGATGAGCCGGTTGAATCTGTACATGAGCTTTTGGGCGAGAGCCGCTTCGATCACGTCCACTACAGACCAAAAAAACTAAAGGACCGATTCTATGTGCGAACTTGGGCTGATTTTGAAGATTTGAAGAGTTTTGAACCGTTACACTCGCTTCAACCCAGCTGTGCGGCAACACAGCCAAAACTGGCCCATGAAACCATTTCATCAGTCAAGTACACAAAGCCCGCGGAGTTCAGAAAATCGGATGACCAAAAGAAAAACATGGTTAAATATGAGTGTGTTGCCTGCAATCGCTACTCTCGGACTTACCCACCTCTTTTCTTGCGACGTGTTACTGTTTAAGATACGATTAAATATGATTATAAATAATTTGAGAAAATACTTTACAATGAGGTTGTTATTTAAAATGGGGAATTATGTTAGCTCTGCATTAATTGCATTGAAGCTGCACATAAAATTGGTTTTAAACGAAGGCTCTAGGCCAGACATCTAGCCCATATTGTGGGGTAGCCAGCATTATTTCGTCCATTCTTTCAATGGTTTCTGTATTCATAGTTTTTACCTCAGCCCATTTACCAAAATAGGCTCATAAGAAAGCTTAAACTATCCATCTCAGAGCATTGTCTTTTCAAATGTGTGCCTAGAATGGAGCGACGGACAGACTGGCCAACGGATTGGATCGACTTGGATATATAAGGATGTATGTGTATTTAATGCGGTAGAAAGGGTTTTTCTGTTCTATTTGCATTTGCAACCAGAAATCATTTCTACCACATAATAAAAAGTATGGGGTAATATCAAGTAGTATCAACAACAAAGTAGAATCATCATTGATATTAAAAAAACCTTATCAGGTTGGCTATGACTTTTACTTAAAATTTATCGGGAGATGGTCATGTGTTCCATACAACATTATTTAGTTTTTAGCTAGATTTTCTGGAGTTAGGATCATTCCGGAAAAATAAAAATGAAAATCGTTCAGTAACAAAATATTTTTGGTTAATCACACGTTTGGGTATAAAATTTCTTCGAAAATTGTATTCTCTAACTAATCTAAATTGACAATGCGGTCTTTGAGAAAAAACTTTTCTCAGTTGCCTATGGCGGTAATACAGAGGTGTCCACATTCGCAGAGCCCAGGACTACTTTCGGCGATTGGCTCTTCGAACGTACTAAGCTCTAATCGTTGCTTGGACACATTGTATGGTGCAGAGTCATGTGAAGATTGCGCAGAGTCATATAGAATATCTCCAGCCCGAACTGATCTAAAGAAGATGGAAAAGCCAGATCCCTTTAAAAACAAGGATCCATGCTGGCAATCACTTCGTCGTACGGAGTACAAGTGCCGCACTGATCCAGAGTTTTTGCTGGATGCATTCATTGATGCGAAGAAGAAATGTCTCCAGGACCCCTGTGCATGGGATGTACCCCGTGCTGATTTAACCTATTACAGGCCGTCCGACAAATTAAAGCGCAAGTATCCACGCACTTGGATTAAGTGTGTGGTGAAGCGGCGCAAGGTTAAGATGCAGTGTGCCTGGAAGCCCGTTCCACACGAGCGTCGCAAGTTCCAACGTATACACAAGACATCGACCTGCGAAGCGGACGCCTGCGCTCTAGGTGCCCCACATTTAAAGCTACAGATCTGCAGACCTCCAGAAAAAACGACGTGTCCACGTTTAACAATGCCATTTTGTAAGACAAGCGTTGTTCCACCCAAGTGCAAAACGGGCGGCAGAAAGCCATCAAAGTGCCGCAAGCGTTTAACCAAGTACCCTGCATTCTCAGAGTGCCTTATAGATCCGTTACCGACAGCACCACCCGTCGAATGCAAATGCCTCAAGACCCCGTCAATGTGCAGTGTTTGGGAATACTTCCGTAACAAGAAATCCTAGATGAATTCAGTTAAATGACGGATAAAATTACTTTAAAATATTAATGTCAATAATAAAATATGCTGAGCCACATACCTTTTAAAGGTCTTATACTTAGGATTATCTATGCCGAAAATATAACTTAGAGTAATTTGAGAATATTAAATTTGACATGTTTTAAAAAGTTATTTTATGGGTTCCTTATTTAGATCCGGTCGGTTGCCAGATATCTTTTATTAGCAATGTTATATTAGCAACAGAAAGTTGGTCCTTTGGAAGGTTCTAGGGTTGCTTTGAATCTGGGACAAGCGGTTGCCAAGGGAGTTGATGTAGGTCAAATACATATACTTAATGGGGACGGTGATTTCCTAGCCGATAAAAAATTGGTAAAAGAATATAAGAGGCTCTACATGAGTTGATCAGATACGAAACATAACGGGGAAGGTGCACGGCGACGAACCGCGTCGATTACTTTTTTATACCACCCTCTTTTATAAGTAGAGTCTTGCGTATATACTATTATACTATTCAGGAATTCATATAACATCCAATTTCACATTACTTTGGGAATGAAAACTCAACACAACTTCTCCACATGTATGAGATTGTACCTTACTCAAGTAAGATTTACTGTATTCTGATGTTTATTCTGTTCAACAATTTTCAGTTTTTATTTAGATTTACTGAAGGGAGTATCATTCCGTAAGAAATATGAAAATCGTTCAGTAAAAAAAATTTTTGTTTTCTTTTAATAGTTAAACGCATTTGGGTACAAAATTTCTTTGAAATGCAGTTCCTGAGAAAGGGCTTTTCTCAGCTGCAGCTGGTGATGGCTCAGAGGAGTCCACCTTCGCAGAAACCAGAACTTGTCTCTACCATTGGCTCTTCGAACCTTCTAATCTCCAAGCGTGGTTTGGATACTTTGTATAAGTCAGAGTCATGTGAAGATTGCGCAGAGTCGTACAAAATATCACCGGTCCGAGAAGACATCAAGAAAATGGAAGAGCCGGATCGCTTAATAAACAAGGATCCATGCTGGCAATCACTTCGTCGTACAGAGTACAAGTGCCGTACTGATCCAGAGTTTTTGCTGGATACTTTCATTGATGCAAGGAAGAAGTGTCTAGGAAACCCCTGTGCGTGGGATGCTCCTCGTTTAGATTTGACCCACTATAAGCCGTCCGACAAGCTGAAGCGCAAGTATCCACGTACTTGGAATAATTGTGTCGTCAAACAGCGCAAGGTTAAGTTGCAGTGCTTCTGTGAGCCCGTTACACACGAGCGGCGGAAGTTTGAACGCATACAAAAGACTTCGGTCTGTGAAAAGCCACCGTGCGCCCTAGGGTCGCCACAATTGAAACTAAAGGTCTGCAAACCTCCCAAAAAAACGTTGTGTCCACGTTTAAAAATGCCGTTTTGTAAGCTGGGCGCTGTTCCACCCACGTGCAAGAAGGGCGCAAGGGGGCCCAAAAAGTGCCGCAAGCGTTTAACCAAGTATCCTGCTTTTTCAGAGTGTCTCATAGATCCATTGCCGATCACTCCACCTATCGAATGCAATTGCTATAAGACTCCACCAATGTGCAAGGTTTGGGAATACTACCGTAACAAGAAATCCTAGACAAATCGGACCTTAAGATGACGTATACAGTTTAATGGCGCATAACTATTTCATAATATCAATGTGCCATAAATAATATTTTGCTGCGTAACAAAAATCCGATTACCAGGAATCAAATTTACAAAAAGAATGATGTACAAAAATAGCGCCAATATGTGACAGACCCGTGTCAACGTCTGTTATCGGTTCTACCACATCGATCTCGGGAGCCATGAAATCCACAAAAAGCTTGTTAATCCCATTTTCAATATCGGAGAGAAGTAAAAATTGGTATATAGGTTCTTAAACATAATTCTGCCCTTTTCACCACTAATTGAAGATCCCCTTTAAGGGGGAAGGATAATAAAAATCAATTTTCTAGAATGCCTTTCTTTTTCGTAGGCTGCTAATGAAGGACAGCACGACACGGCTTAAGGTCCGCAGCCTATGTATGATATATAAGATTTTGTTTAGCATGCATGTTTTTCAAAGATGTTACTGGGCACATCAAGGTCAATAATTATAGATCTTACGGTATTCGGACAAGGAATACTTGTCAAACTTAGTATGACGTTCGTTATCCACGGCATACTTATAAAACGTGTAGTTTATTCGACAGCTAGCTAGAATATCTCATGTCATCTTGTGTCCTGACTGACTGAACCGCAACCAAGGCATAGCACAAGGCGGATAAGCTGCGGCTGATATTTTTGCTGAAGTTACCTCCTGCAGTTGGGGAAAACTGTGGTCAAAGTTTTTACAAAAAAAACTAATATAAGTTGCGTATAAAAATTGTGTGTTGAAATCGTGATGTAAGTAGACTGATTGGCTTAGGTGTCCAAGCAAGAAGTCGCCGGTTCAACTTATTAAATTGGATACAAAAAAAAAAAAGAGAATTCCTTTGCCCAATTAACGCGAGCAGACTTATACAGCACCGAGGGCGGTAGGAGTTTCCTTTTAGCCACAACAATCACTACGGGGCCGTTGAATGTAAATTTTCAACATTAACTTTTTGAGGCTGGCGAATCCGAGCAACTTGTAGTTTAATATATTTCAAATTCTTTGTATTTCATAGCTTACTCTATATTCAGTCTTTGATTTCTTTTTCGGCAAATCTGAAAATTATTTTTAAATTTCAAAATAATGCCTTCTAAGCCGCTATTAACATCAAAGCTATTGCAGCGTCCAGGAGTGTTGACTAAAGCTCTGGTATTCCATCCACAACGAACCTACAACTGGGGCAACTACGATGCCTCCTCTAAAACGTGCTGTAAGATGCACGACGCTGAAACGTTTAAATGCTTAGAGGGTAAATTAAAATGCAAGCCCACTAAAATTCCAAATAAATGTTACAAGCGTGTTGATGAGGAGTTTGTATCGTTTGGTGAATACCCCAAGCAATTGTTTCACATCTTAAGACCTGCAGAGGTTGATTGTGGCCTAATCAAGCATGATATGTGCTACTATAGACCCTCAGACAAGAGTCGTCGTTATCAGCGCACCTGGCCCGAGTGTCCACTTATTTGGCTGCGCCCAAAAAAGAAATGTTGCCCTGATGAGGAGTATTATCCGCCTATTTGTCGACGCCAAAGGAAACCACAACGGCCACCAATGACTACGATCGAAAAGTATTTGTACACATTCGATAAGGAGTGCAAATCGAAATGTCACAACGATGGGACGCTGAAAAGGAAATGCACAATAGTCAGGGGACCCAAAAAGTGCGAGAAGGTAGAGGCCCCATTTCCAAGCTTTTCCGAGTGTAAAAAAGACTTCAGAGAGGGTTACTGTCACACAGAGTGCGGCTGCAAATTGGTACCCTCTCTCTGCGACTTATGGAGACTGCATCATCGCAACTCAAGTTTGGTTAAAAAGTGCACTCTAGCATTAGTGGGTTACTGTCCATTTAAGAATCGTGGACGCCCCATCGGTTAGATACCAACAAGAAGGCTCGCGATAATTCTGGGCGAAACGCTTGCTGAGTGGGTTAACCGGTTATGCTGGTTTCCACAGATCTAGTCATTTGATTCTTTTGATATAGTATTCGGCATTTGCTATCAAAAATAATTCCAAATTCTAAATTTTTATTCGGAAATGGTACTAAAATCTAAATTGGCTCGTTTATTGTCACCAGCCAGGTGCCTCTGGAGCGTGCGTGGTGGTTTATCTAGGTCTCGCAATTTAGCTAAATTTTCACCCACATTTCCTGATCCACCCTGCCAGCCCATCGATCCGCGTTGCCACTACGTGAAAGATAAATGCAAGCCGGCCCGCGATATTCTGGAACTTGACCTCCCCTTTGACAAGCACATGCTTGATCTAGAGAGGCTGAAGAGAGAAAAATTGTTGGAGCCGCCTTGCTGCGTTTTACGCACGGCCCATCAGCAACCATGTTTGGATGTCTATCCAATACGGAAGAAGAAGAAGAAGGAAGAGTGTCCGCCGTTCCGTTCTATGTGGGTGCCACCCTGTCAGCCACATGACCAACCCTACTGTAAAGATATGTTACCGCGCTTTGATGAAATCTATTACAAGCCGTCGGTTAAGTGCAGATGCTATCAGCGCACGTGGGTTGAGTGCCCGCCAGTAAGGGAACGTTTAAAGAAGGTCTGCTGCCTGGATGGCATTAATCCGCCAGAGGTGAATAAGCGCAGCAAGGAGCGCTGTCCACAGACGACCTGTATGTTTGACTACACACGCATGCGACACATATGCAACAATCGAGACGCTGTTTCTGAGGATCGCTGTTTAAAGCTACATTGGCCGTGCTGTAAGCCAGCGCGCTGTGATAACAGCTGCCATGTTCATAAGAAGCTCAGCAAGTGCAGAAGGCTACGAACTCCGTATCCTTGCTTCTCGGAACGACGCCCGAAGTACCGACCGCTGCGAGCTCGACAGTGTCTCGAAGAGCCCATGAGCAGGTGCGAAATCTGGCGTGAGTTGCACAAACGAGAATTGCACAAACAAGAAGTTACTGGCTTGAAGGGTACTCACTGCTAGTCCAGCTACGATCTCGAGCAGTCAATGATTACAAACCCCATGGTCTTTCATCATTGAGTGTTCTAGAACATAACTGGCGAAAGCCTCACACTTTGAACGTAAAGCCTTTCACGGACACACATAGGCATAGGCTTAACCTAAGACAAAATTGTACAGAAGATCAACATACGAGCCGTGATCATTTAATTTGAAAAATGTGATATAGGTCAGCAGCGATAACTTAACAACACTGTAGACCCATCCTCTTATCAACGATAAGCTACAGTGTATCGTTAAAGAACGCGTCAGCTGCTATATACACGTTGAAGTCAAATAAAGGATATATCAGCTAGAATTTGATTTTATTTGTACGTAATGCAAAATTATATCCAATTACACAACCCAAGTTTTTTAGGGCTCTGTAATAGTAATTTTAGCCGAAAAATAACCGGTCCCAGAATCCAGTCTGTGAAGTGCTCGCAGAAGGGCATAACGTATCAGTTGTCTTGAATCGGGATCTTCCATATTTGTCTCAAATTCAGTTTTGCCAGCTGTTTTAATGCTATTGCTGTCAGCATCTTGATTAACTTCTTCGTACTTAACGCTCTTTGGATGGTCAGATTTTTTAATTTCTTTTGCCGCTTCCTTTGTGTCTGGAACTGTTATCGGCACCTCAATAGTTCGAAAGGGCTTATAAGAGGGTATGGTACTGTCGTCTCGGTCCTTCTTCTGATAAGGCTCCGGGCTCTTTGGTTGATAGAAGCCGTCGTTTTGGTTACGGGAATCATGTGGAGTTTTATTAGATAAGCGTCTAAGATTTTCCTTTTGATGCAGAATTTTGAGTTTGCCATCATGTAATCCATCAATTCGGCATGGAGCCTCACAGTATTCAGACCTACTGCCAGAGTATTTCATGCTATTGTAGATTTGCGCACTCTTATAGCCATGGATATCAAACGGGTCCACCTTCCGATTATTGACTGGGCTTAAGCCAAGAATTTCCCCATCTGCCTCGCAATAATGTGTAGAGATACGGTTCTGGCTTATGTTTGACTGCAAGTTCTTCTGAGAGTCAGCTATTGCATGTGCATTATCTGCAGTGTCTTGAAAGGGATTACAAACTGAAACATCAGATTTGACTTGTTGAATCATGTATTCGTCCAACATTTCGCCGGAATCAAAATTCGCTTTACTTATAAATGGCACATCGAATTCTCCGACCCCGATGCAATTATCTTCTGTTATTTCGGTATCTCGCGTTCCGCACAGCTGTATTATTGAATTTACATTTCGTTCCAGCTCCGGATCCATTTTCTGTTCACTCCAAGTCTCGGTTAATTCATCTGGAAAATCTGATAGCACCGAGTTGTGAAGCTGTCCATCCTGAGCATACTCTGATTCATTAGTTTGTCCGAGCTGGTCACTGTTAGCATTCATATTACTATTCTGTTTGCTTAGATTACTTCCAGCGTTCTGATCTTGGTTGCTTAGGTCCTGGTATGTTTCATTGCTGTTGTTACTATACGTTTCCTTCGGTATACCATTTACATTATGTAGAAATTCCATCCTGTTGGCATTCTGATCTTCTTTGAAATGCGATAAACCCTCAGCGCTCAGAACTTCCCCATCTATCGGCGGATTGTGCTCTGAGGTGCTACACCGCATGACAGGCATCCATGAGGGCGGGGCTAGGGTGCAACGACATAATGAGCGTACGTAATAAGTGATCCCAAGCAAACGGGACATCACAAAAGCTGTAGTTCAAGGACGAGCGCTGATAATATTTGTATATAAATTTTGGTGACGAAAATTTAGAAATTCCAAAGATATGTTAAGACCTTACGTTAATTTGTAAAGTTCAAGAGCTATAGTAGACTAATCCACGAAAATTATTCTATTAAATAATGTAACTGTCAGGGGCTGCTTGGATTAGGGGGAAAAACTTAAAACGGAATCTTGTCTTAATCCAATATACAGAAAACAAAGAAACGTTTGCGACACGTGAGTAAAACTAGAAAACAAAGTGTTAGCCCGTACTTTAGGAAGTCAACAAGGCAACCGAGGAAGGTTATAGGATTCTAGTAAAATTCAACATAGATATCGCTTGAAATTTATAACACATTTAAGAGAATAACTGCATAATAAAATAAAGATAATGTTTGTATTAGTACATTTATATTGTTATTATTTTTTCTGAATTGCACACTTGAGCATTTCGCCCCATTCCTTTACTATAGAGAAAATCCTTCTAAACTATATTGCATATTTAGCATCGGAGGGGAAAAAATACAGTACAGTTTAAATGGACTTAATTTATTCGCAAGTGGGGCAAGAGCAGTCTTTTTGGGATATCCTTTCCTTTCTGTTCTGAAAGCGGTAGGCTTCACAGATTGATATCAAGCTTAAGCAACGGCACTCCCGAGGACGTTCGGCTACTACAGCAGGGTCCATGCGATCGCACTCAGAGTAACTAGGGAAGGGACATTTTGTCTTCACACAGTCGGTCGGTACACGAGTTAAATGGCAGTTAGGCGGTATACGGGACGCGCGACAGCACGGCATGGTTTGCCGAGGGCAGCCCTTGGCCTTCTGGTTGACACAGTCCAGACGTTTTTTGTCATGGCTTGGCTTGCAACTGGTACGCGGACAGAGAGGCAAGCAACGCCGTGATGTCTCGGGCGGAATGGAATCGCACCAGCAGCAGACGCGCTTGGGCACCATGCGAGGACAGCATTCCCACCACGTACGCTGAAACTGACGACACTTGTTCGATGGTCGATAGTACAGCACGTCGAAGGGGATTTCCGGGCACATGGGGCAACACTCGGGTGGATAATCCCATACCAGGTTCCCTGCCCGCTCCTTACTTACAATCGTTTTCCACATCGATATAAACTTGTCCGGTTTCCTTTTAAATTCTGCCGCCTTGGCAGGCTTTTCACAAATGTTATCCGTAATTCTCTTCTTCGCGCAACAGGACTGATCTCGTCTTTCTGGACAATCCTGCTCGCTGCAGGGCCGCACTGGAGGATCCGTTGGGCGACATGACTGTGAGAAAACATTTTTGCAATCTTCAGTGATTGAATCCGGGCAGTCCAGCGGGCGACGGGGATTATATTTTTCTCGCAGCCTCTTAGTGCAATGGAAATGGATCTTGGGTATATATTTCGGCTGACATCGCGTTATTGACCGAACGGTAATACCCGTGACCGCATTCCTTAGCATTGTAGAGATGAGCTTACGCTTATTAACAAAAGGAATAAATTTAAAATTTAATTGACATTACCGAAAGTTTATCCAAAAATTGTTATAAATGCCGAAAATAATTTTTGAACGATGTTCACAAAATTTCTTTCTCTGAGTTAGCTAGCCAGGCTAACATGTGGGGGGTTCCTATAAGCCCAGACATATCATTGGCCATCCAATCTTCAATGGAGTTTCAATTTGGATCTCTTATGAGCCTTACAATTTAATGAAAGATTCAATTTTAACGAGAATAGTTGTTTATTTGTTGGGATATAAAGCAGCGGGGTCCTTCTGCCACAATCGACTGTTGTTTATTCACAATAAAATATTGTGAAAGCAATGGGACTACAGCCGAAGGAGGAAGAAGGATCACGTTGCTGCATACCACAGAATAAAGACGAATTACAAAGAAGTACTTTGGACCCAATGGCACGGTGGAGGGATAATTAAAAGATTGGGCGTATTTGCGGCTTGGAATTAAGTAGAACACTGGCATACTTGGCCAGGACCTGATAGCGAGCCTTCGTTTTGGTTAAGGTCTGATCGAAAAATTGCTGACTTAGACCGCAAAATACAGGGCGTCCATTGCAGAGCATTTCTGATGCGTCAATTCCATGAAAGTCGGCCAGGCACTTGCGAGAGGCTGTCAATAGCTGCGATCTTTGCAGGCCACCGACTCTAGGTCTCGCGTCCAAATTGGCGTCTCTTTGTTGAGGCTTGCTCTGTCCCTTTATAAAACAGTATAGGTTGTCTAAAGACTTGGGTCTTTCCAGGAGCGGCATTTGAAATTGATTTTCAACCGACTGGCACAGCGAATACTTGCGCTCGACGGGAACTACTCGTACCGTGGGTGGTGCAACATTTGGCTTAATCGTTGCCACAGGAATGCTGCTGCGCAAGTTGCCCGTCTGCGCCTTGGAGTAACGCGTTAGGAACTTGGTCAGGCGCTCCGCACAGATTGTAGCCAGAATGGAGGTGCCCGCCATTAGAACTAGCTGATCTCGCTGCTAGATTTAGATTGTCTCTTCGTCTTATTGCCTGTTGTTAGTGAATTACTTAAAACAACAATAGATTTTGAAGATTTTGGTATAAATTTTTCAAGTTTGTCGTATCAAAATGTTTACAATGATATGTGTGAGCTTAAAATCAATGCATTTGTTTGATTAACAGCAACTAGACAGTCGCTTCCCTTTATGTATTCTTCAAGATTTTCACATGCAAGCGGATCGAACTTTTTCTTATAAACTCTCAAAATTTTGAATGTGAATATCTTTATACTGTTGTAAGTTTCGATTTATTCTCTCCTGGTTGCTGCTGATTTAAGTATTAATATATTGGCTCAGTTGCTTGGCTTGAGTTCTACGCACCGACAGTGAACAGCAACAGCCACAACAACAATAATAACAAACGGCTAACAACAAACTGCGCATGTTTAGATTTAATTGAACATTTAGCCAAATTAAAATACATTTTATTACGCAGCCAACAGACAAAGTCTTGCAGTGAAATGCAAAACAAGCCAAAACGCGCGCCCAATCAGCTAAATTCACCAAAAAGGCTAACAGACAACCGGAGACAGACAAGGACGGAGACAGGAGACAGAGACAGAGACAAGGACTGAGACACTGGTAATGGAGACAGAGATCTTAAGTTGTTGGCCAGGCTTTGAAGCACGCAACGGTTTATTTGGCTTTTCGTATATTTTTTTTTCGGCTGTGAATTGTTGCAGTTTTTTCTTATGCGAAATTTGGCACAGATTCGCAGCCATTTGAGACGGAACTAAGAGCCAAGTGGCCAACTGGTTTACAGGGTGCCTAGAAGGGGTGGTGCGGCGCGCTGGGGCCTGGAAAGGCAGCTAACATGCGTTCTGCAATTGTTTAATAGCCTAATTAAAATGTGCGCTCGAACAGGTTAAGAGCCTGGAAAGTTGCACAGCAGCAGCAGCAGCAGCAGCGCATGCAAAAGCGCCGGCATTCAGTCACAGCTGCTGGCGCTATGTGACAGCTGACGAGTCGCAGTCACTGTGTTGCAGTCACTGTCACTGTCACTGTCAGGCGGGTGGTTTGTCACTGCCTGCCTCAGCTTTTGCATTATTTTGTATTTTTTCTCTGCATATTTCTTTTTTCGTTGCTTGCTCGCAATTACATTTGGTTGTTAATTGCATTATGCATATTTATGGACGGGCCCCCAGTTAGAGACTCAACTCCCGGACCCGGCACAATGCGGCTCATTAGCATACATCAGCGCGTTAAGCGCAGAATGAGTATCTGGCTCTGATGGGTCTGAGTGGGTTTGAGCAAGTGTCTGAATGGGTTATATGTATCAGAGCTGTCTGTTAGTGAGTGCTAGCATCGCATCTCTGCGAGCACGGGTGTCCCAGTCAGAGTGTGTCTGCTTCTCTCTCCCAGTCTGACATGCTCAACCACTCACTGTCTCTAACTCTAATTTAAATTAAAATATGAAAAATACTCGAGGCGACAGGGAGTGCAGCAAAGAGCGGACGAGCAGCAGAAAATGTGTGTGAAAATCAAATCTAAAATAGCTGCCGGACATAACATAATCAAATTGAATGTGGTCAGTCCAAAGCACAAGAGCTGTGAATGTTCATGCTTTGTGTGGGACTTGAAGACTTGGTGACACGCATCTAAATTTAATGTCAGCATTTTCTTTACTCGTATTCAGAAATGCATATGTTTTTGCAAAAATAAACTTCTTAGCATTTCAATCTTGGCATTAAAGGCTTAACGCGTAAACTAAAATATGAAATTTAACTGATAAAATTAACTAATAAGTATAATTAAAGCCTCTTTCGATAAACTACCCACTTTACTCACATAGCTGTTGCTTAATATGCCATAATATATTTGAAATTTTATAATTCTCGATAAACTCAGATGTTTTAGCTTCAAGTGCATATATGTCTTCACACTCTCCACATAACTCTGCATATCTAAAGGGAAAAACATTTAAGTGTTTCTTTTTGCCTTCTCAATAGTTGGTGTGTCCAAGCAACTTCAATCAAACCTTAAGCAAACAATTGTAGCTCAACCCACTCACCCACATGCCGGACTACCACACACACTCGCATACACGCACACACACACCTCCGCTTATGGGAATTTTCTTGTCAGCCAAGCATTGTCCAAGTAGAAGTACTCGTGTATATATATGCCTACTCTCAGTGTGAGTATTTCTTGTGAGTGTGAGCTCCCAATCTCCCTGGCCACATGCCCGGCTGCCGTTTGCTGTGCGCCTGCTATCACGCAGAGCTGTGCCGAGAGAGAAAGAGAGCGTAGGACAGTAATGAGTACGATGTGGTCAGAACTAAGCACGTGAGTGCAGCACGCTTGGAAAGTTGCGACAAATGGCGGTAATAAATAAATATGCCATTAACCCACTTGGAAAGCGGACGCAACGTCATATCCACATGCAAATATATGTGCAAATTTTAGGCGGCATTTGTATATCAATATGAGGCAGCGGAAAACTTTCTAATCGCACAATAATTGCAGGCAGAAAAGGAGAATAAGTTGCTGCAGCCGCAGCTGCCATGCAACAATTAAATGTTGCCCCTGCAACATGCTGCAAAGAAATTTGTAGTCATGTTGCCAAGCTCTTTTGGAGCTAACAGCGTGACCGAGAGCAAATTCATCGACTGTGCTAGAATCACGTGCGCAAATTGAAGAAATAATGTATGCCGTCTAGTCAGAATCTATTTGCTACTGAAATAGCTTGGTTATTTTTCATTTATCGGACTTCTCTTCGTCTCTAATAAAAGCTGAATTAGTATTTCTTATAAATAGAAGCTGGCCATAGTCAAAATGTTCGATTAATAGATTATAATTAACTAACGAACTAAAAATTGATTAATCGAGAATAAATCGAATATTGCGCAAGGCCCCACTTTTAAACAGCTAATAAATACTCACACCCACATCTGAGACAACATTTACCTTGGCTTGGTGTAAGAAATAATAATAAATTAAATATAGAACATTATTTAGTCGATAACTGAAAGTCAATTAGACAACAATCATTTTAATTGGCCAGGGCCACAATATTCTCACGCTGCCACCTCTAATCAGCTGCTAAGCCATTTGCATTCGCACCTTGGCAACATGTTGCCGAGTTAAGTGCTTGGCAACATAATATTGGCGATTGCGCGTCCACATTAATTTATATGCCGCGATTAGGGGCAGCCCCAAAAGAGTTTTTGTCTAACATCGGATTTTGGTTCGACTGGCAATTTACAACTTTGACTAAATAAAATTTATTGTAATGACAGTCGCACGACATTTTATAATTAAGTCAAATTGTTGGCCAGCCAAAAAACCGGTACCAGTACCTGGCATGCCATTTAGCTGATCTGGCTGATTGATGTGGCTGCTCTCGCCGGTATTCCATATGCGGACGCTCTATCGATGATCGCCAGAGAGAAGGGGGCGGCATAAGCTCAGTCCAGTCCGAGCCAGAGCCAATGCCAATTAGGCCGACCTTAATGTCCAGGCAGCCCCCCTCCGGCAATTAAATGAAACGGAATGAAACGATACGGAACAGGACCCACAGATGGTAGCTAACTCGGGCCCGGGACAGCAATACGTATCGTTTAATTGAAATAATTACACATTAAGTGCATTAATTATTTTTTCACTCGCGTTTTGCAACCACATGCAAACGTGGCGACGCGCCTGAAAGTCGCCTGCGCCTTTTTCTCCGTAATTATTAATTTAAAGCATTCGACTCCGCTGGGTATCGTAGGATATAGCCACAATTAGTTGTTGTTCCAACAGTTGTAGGCACACCAGTTACAACAATAACAATAACAACAACAACAGCAGTAAAAAGCAACGACAACAACTGCAACTTGCAACTCGTTTTGTTGTTAGCTCATAATTATTAAGGCGAAATCATAATTAAAAATATATTTAGCCAGGTTTTGAAATATGCTTAGATGGCCGCGGAGCGACGACTGCTGCAACCAGCTCCAGTTCCAGCTAGCCGCTAGTTAATATATATACCCATGGAGAGGGTGCAGCAGGACTGGCGATTTGAGGGTAGCTGAGTTA